ATGAAGAAATGTGATCTGGGAGATAGTACAGTCAGATAGATTTATAGCTAATTGAATACTGCTGCCCAAAGGGTGCTTTGTTGTCAACCTGTGCCTGATTATTCGAACTAGTAAGTTGAAATGCAATAGGAGAACATGTAAATTCTGTACTTTAGTTCAATAAAACCAGCTGAATAGATATGGCATAATAGCCTGTAAGCCCCAGTGGAACTAAGAGTGAGCTCTCTGGAGTAAGGAATGTAACATTCTCTGTATTGTTTGGATCACATTTGCAGCATTTGCACACATTTAAGAAAGATATTGACAAACTAGATGCATCCAAGGGAAGGGAAGGTGGTGAGGAGGATGGAGATGATGCTATAATCCACCTCACAAAGGATGCTTGAGGAACTGGATCTACTTTGGAGAAGTAAATCTAAGTGAAAGTATGATCCTAGTATTGAAAGGTTTCTGTCTGGAATATCTTTCCCCTCATATTGCTTTCTTAAACAATACTTTTATTCAAATGTCTGTATTGACTTGAAATTTACTCATAAATCGTTATGCATAACAAATACAAATGTCAGACAGTACTTTCCCAGTAAGAGCTTACAATCAGACAAGTAGTTTTCATGAGGCAAGTTAAACAGCAGGCCCATTTTAAAAGTATCTTAATAGCTAGTATTTTAATATAGTGATCAAATTGTGCCATGTTCACAGTGATACAGTATTTCTCTTACTACATGTTAACATGTTCAAATCCAAAGTTATACAAAGGCTTTTTTCTCATCCAGAAAAAGTTATATTGGTAGACAAATTCACCACTTGTGAGAATAAAGTAAGAATGTTTTCTCCTATTCTAGTTTATTTTTTGAAATCACTCTTTCCCCCAAAGTTGGCAGGTCAGGTGGGCATGGTATGGAGAATGCTGCTAGGCCATTTGCACAGAGGTTATCAGAAATGTTAAAAAGTCTAACTTATAAAATATTTCTGCCCCATTAAATTGTACTCAACTTTAATAAAACATTTAATTAGTTTCTTATTGTGTTATAACGTTGTCATAAATTTAGTGACTTTGAGGAAAATAATCTTAGTATGTTATGATTCTGGAGGTCAGAAGTCTGTCTCTTTGTCTTTGAGTATGAAGTGCCAGATAATGTAAATTTTCTACATCCGCTCAGATATTCATTTTTAGATTCACTTGCAGACAGTTTTGAATTTTCCGTGGAGCTCCTTACTCTGAAGTCACTAAATATATTTAGTATTTTGTTCAGCAGCTAAACCCTTTAATTAATCAGACTCTTTGATACCTTTTAAAAACCATTTGAAAATATATTTGGTGTTCTTTCTTTAACGTCATTGTGACCTGATGGCATAAATAAGAACCTAAAACAGGCCTTTCAGAAAGCATAGTTATTAAAGAGAAATATCTGAGTTTATCTTCACCCTCTTTTGGATTGTCTTCTAATTTCTTCCACTCTTCCCCAATTTGCTTTTCCTCCCTACAGGATGCAGAGTCTACTCTAGTGGGAAAGTAAGCCTAAAACAAAGCCTACAGAAAGGCAACAAGCTTTTTATCATGTTCTTCTAACCTAATTCAATGTAAAAAGTTAATTAAAATTTGAAATGGTTATGATTTTTCAGATTAATTACAGGTTTCTTATTTTGTAGACTATTTTAAATTTATGTAAAACAGATTTGTTCTTTTTTCTTCAAACTGCTTAAAGTTTTGAGAGACAAATTAAGAGCTTTTCTTAAAAATAATTTTTTTTAAAAATTGACAAATATGCATTATATATATTTATTATGTACAACATGTTTAAAATGTACATGCATTGTGGGATGGATACATTGAGCTAATTAGCATATGCATTACCTCACATACATAACTTTTTTTTGTGTTGTGAAAACTTAAAAATCTCTTTTAGTGACTTTTAAGAAGACAATATAAGAACCAATTTCCTTTTTTTTTTCTTTATCCATACTCAGTTTTTATTTTATTTTATTTTTAATTTTAAAGATGTGGGATACAATTCAGAGTTAAGTATACGAATGTTCATTATGCAAGTGCCCTTGTTAATGAGGTGTGCCCTCCCTCCCCTGGCAGTTTCCCACTACTGCCAATCCCTTTCTTATAGTATTATGATAATTGTTCAAGGTCTGCTTATGAGTGAAAACATATGGTACTCTACTCTTTGTTTCTGTGATAGATCACTGAGTATGATAGACTCTAAATCCATCCAAGTTGCTGCAAAGTCCATATATTCGTCCTTCTTTATGTCTGTATAATATTCCATTGTGTATATGTACCACATTTTTTTAATCCAGTCCAGCTTCCATGGGCAGCATGGTTGGTTCCATGTTTTTGCTGTTGTGAATAGAACTGCAACAAACATACATGTGCAGGTGTCTTTTTTGTAGAATGAGTTGAGTTCCTCCGGGTATATTCCTAATGGGGAATTGCTGGGTCATATGGAAGATCAAATTCTAGTTCTTTCAGAATTTGCCACACTGTCTTCCAAAGAATGCACTAGTTTGCATTCCCACCAGCAGTGTAGAAGCATTCCTTTTTCTCTACATCCTCATCAGCATCTATTGTAGAACCAATTTTTAAAAAAATTATTAACCATTGTAAATGAGTATTTATAGATAAGTATAATAGTATACTTCATTAATGAACCAAGAGCTTAGAGACCTAAATTCTAATCTTGCTTCTGCTATTTTTTAGTATAACTATTATTTTCTGATCTTTGAACTAAGAGGCTAGATAGAGGATCTGAGGGTACCTCTGACTGTGATGTTTATGATCATGACTCAATGAGGGAACTAGGTGGGAAGAATTATTAAGGAAATATTTCTGAGTAAGATAAGCTGATGACTAGAGATGAAGAGAAAGGAATTTGGGGGAAGGAAAACATTAAAAAAGTTAAGGTTTTTATTTTAGTTCAGGTTCTTTTACGTTCACCATACACTTTTGCACATATCTTAGTTAATTCTCTTGTGTGAAATAGGCAAACCTGTTATTATTATTATTTCCATTTTGTAGACTAGGCTTCTGAGATCTGATCTGAGATGCACAAATGGTACAAGTTTTGGACTAAAATTTATAGAATTATGTAGTGTTACATTTTGAAACTCATTTGGTCCATATCATCTTTCTTCTTGTCTTGTGTTCAGTCTGCTACAATACCTTCTGTTTTTAAAATATTCCCCATTTTTCATAGTTTAACAAATCAAGTAATTAGTTGACATTTTGCCTTTTTATCTTAAATTTATCTAATTTAAGTGAGTTTAACGAATTGCAAATATAGGTTAACTGCATAACTCAGATTTTATGACTTTTTAAAGCTACAAATAATAGTAATTTAGATTAACCATTGGAGAAAGGTTTTTATGTTGTTGTTGTCTTATAAAAACTGTACTATAAGCATGTTTTCATTGATTAGATTTTAAAATGTTGAGAGCTCCTTGTTAATACAGATGTTTAAAATCTATTATTTTCATTGGGGAAATATATTTCAGAAATATATTTATCTACATCTGCCTTAGAGTTAAACCTGTCAAATTTAAGAGACTTTTAAAAATGAACAGTAGTAAACAGAACTTAAGGAAAAGAGGTATTTTCATCTCTCTGTGTCTGACATTTTAATATTTCAGTTAAAATATTTTAGAATGAATTTTTCAAAATAAAAACTTCCTTCAAAACAAATAGATATTATGCTTTATTTCAGTCATCTCTAATCTGTTACTGTTCACTTTTATATGATTAGTAGGGAGCATGCGTGTTCAGTGGCTTCCCAACTCAAGATGCAAGGTATAAGCTTGAAATGCCCTACCCTGCAGTAGGGAACTCTGTAGGATAAGGGATTGCAACTATGAAACCAGGCCAGTGTTCTAGGTCCACAAGGCCCTGTAGAAAAAGAAACATGGATACATTTGGATTTTCGGTATACAGGGACTATGGTCAGACAGACAGGTCTATACTTAAGTCCTAGATCCTCTAACACTGACTAACTTTGTGATATTTTGTAAATTACTTAATCTCTCTAATGCTCAGTTCATATGCTTCCATTTGGGTAGAGAGGAAACAAGGGCGTAGAAATATTGTCTGTAACACAGTGCTGGCACAAAGTTATACTGAATAAATTAGAATAATAGCAGAAGTAGTTGTTATTTTATAGTTCTACTTATATTTTCTTATGTCTTGTTTTCTTACTAAGAAGCATATTTATGAGAACATGAACTTTGGAATTAAAGCATTTAGTAAACATTTGGTCATTGATGAATGTTCTCTCTTCTACATCTCTATTTTTTATTTGTTAAATAGTACTTTGGAGGTGCACTCATGGTTGCTTGGGTATATTTTAGAAAGTGATTCTGTGCAGAATAGATGGTATATTTGAAGAATAATAGTATGCACTTATTTAGAATTACACTTGTGATCTAGCTTCTATATTGTAATATATGCATCATAAAAATTAACTAGTTGTATGTGATTTAGTGCTTGAAGGTAGTAATCAATAGGCTTATTTGTAATGATGTATCACTTTTTAAAAGAAAAGTTATTACTAAAATAGTACAGTAAGTCTCCTACATACAAACCTTCAAGTTGCAAACTCTAAACAGGCACACATCCTTTTTAAGGTACACATCCTTTCTTTAAGGCACATATCCTTTCTGCCAGGTGTCAGTATAGTCTGTTAAATACATATAGTACTGTATAGATGATTTTGTTAATTGGGTACCTAGACTAAAATTGTTGGACTTAAAAACAAATTGTACTTATAAATTCACTCTCTGAACAGATCTTTTTGGTATATGGGGACTTCCTGTATTTTCAGTCAATGGAAAAGTTGGATTCTTATTTATAGAGCTTTAGTTTATACTGGATTTTTTAGAAACACATCTTTTGCTAACCACATTATGTAAGTACTAGATTTTATGTAAATTTGTTAACTCGTCCTTTTGGGAGACTTCTTCCCCACCCCTCACTTATGAATATATTGTATATTCCTTTCCAGAGCATGAAAGGCAAAAGCAAAAGTAGTCATGACTTGCTTAAAGATGATCCACATCTCAGTTCAGTTCCAGCTGTAGAAAGGTTAGTCTATTGTTGATATGATCCTGTACTTATTTTCTGGCCCAAATAATTTTCTTGCTTCCTTTGTGAGTAAACAATCAGTTCTCATAAGTAAAAGTTTAAAACCCACCCAGAAAAATAAAGCATTTTGATAATGGAGGTAGAGTACTTCTAGCATGATAGAGAAGCACTCCAGTCACTTTCATTGTTGCTGTCTACCTCTGTTGAACTAATTAAATTTAAAATTAATTTTTAAACTTTTTTATCTTAGGATAGTTTCAGTACTAGAATCTGTTTGCTTTAACAATTTAATGTTTAATTCAAAGTTGCTAACTTTTTCCTTGAGGCATTTCTGTCTCAGTTTGTATCGTGGGTGAACAAATCAGAGTTGAAGATTTTTGTGAAGTCACCACTTTTTGGGCCAATCTACTGACTCTAAGGTCTCACATACTCTGAGGAGTTAACAGAAAGTGTCTTGTTATCTTTGTTATTTCTCTTTGAAAAGGGAAGATGTCTTAGTGTTAAATACAGTTGCACGTGATATACTGGGCCAGTGTCTCAAGGGGGACTGAAATACTGTTGTATTGAGTTTAGCTCATTTTTAAAAATCCTGTTTTAAAACAATACTTTATAATTTCCTTTTATTTGAAGGATTTGGGGTTTTTTTTAGCTAGAATATTGAGGCCAATAGAATAAATTATTTTCTGCATACCTTTGTTCATAAAAAATAGCACTGTTAATTATTGTTTGCTTTTTTCTTTTAAATTCTAGTGAATTCATGTATGGGGGACCTCTCAAAAAATGGAATTTTATTTATAAAAATTTGTGTATTTATTTTTACATGTTTAAACTTCAGTTTCCTTCAAAGTACTCTCTGTTTGATGCAATATACCTATCAAGATGCTTTTTCTACTGCTCAAAAATAGTTTTTGAACTTAACAATTTTAATACCTTTTAGTGCTTCTGCTGTTTTTTGTTTCACCTCTTTCACATTGGTGAGACGTTTGCCTTTGAGGACTTTTTTCATCTGGGGAAACCAGAAATGTCACTTGGGGCAAGATTAGGTGAATAGGGAGGGTATGGTCTGGGGGTTTATGCCGTTTTTGGTCAAAAACTGCTGAACACTCAGCATGGTTAGACAGGTGCATTGTCATGGTAGAAGAACCAATCACCTGTTTGTCACAACTCAGGACATTTCTTCTGCAAATTGTCTCTCACAATATGCCAATGGGTTCCTGGAATACTTAACTAGCAGGGGAAGCCTATATTATAAAAAGCATGCTTTAAGATAATTCCAGGATTTTTGGGGTTCCCCCTCATACCTGCTAACTGAGTATACCTCTTATTTTATTTATAAAAAAAATGACTCCCTTTTAGAATGTTTCCATCCACTCTATAATGCCATTTTGAAATTTTTATGTTGAAATAAATTTTTGGAACATTAATCTAGCAAAGTATTCTAAATTTTTGGATTATTAAATAATTTTATTAGCTTCACCTCAAAGTTAAGATATATTTGTCTTATTTTTTACAGCGAAATGGGTGATACAGCAGAAAATTTAGATGACGTGAGTATTAATTTTAATATATAGCTTGAATTATTTATAAAGTTCAAAATTTTATAAAAATTATTTTTCTTAAAAAGTAATATATATATTTTTTATAATTATATGTGTCAAATTTTGAAAACTTTATAAAAATAAAAATTATTTTGATATTGGACGATTTCCTTCCGTGTGTGTATGTTTGTGTAGATGTGTGTATACATGTGTATATGTCTCTACAAAATTGGAATCTTACATACGAATTTCTAACCTGCTTTTTCTTCCCTTTCCATAACGTTACATGGATACATGAGTACTCAAAATTTAGATGTTATAATTTTATTTTAATATGTTAAAAGTTTAAATGTTAGGCTAGGTGCAGTGGCTCACACCTGTAATCCCTACACTTTGGTGAACCAAGGTGGGAAGATTGCTTGAGGCTAGTTTGATATTAACCTGGGTAACATAGCAAAAACCTCATCTCTACAAAAATAAATGCATGCATACATACATATATACACAAAAATTAGCCAGATATGGTAGTTGTAGTCCCAGCTATTAGGGATGCTGAGGTAGAAGGATTGCCTGAGCCCGGGAGGTCAGATTGCATTGAGCTGTGTTTGTGCTGCTGCACTCCAGCATGGGTAAGAGAATGAGACCTCAAATTAAAAAAAAAAAAAGTTAAAATGTTGATGGCTGGGCATCCTACATGATATATGGAAATGCTTGGATCAGTCATTTGTCATTTTTATACATACATTTCAGAAGATTCTCACTCAAGACTGTAGTGATTTTTCTTTATTAAGTGTGCTATCTGATAAAGCTAATAAATCAGAAAGGTTTTCTTTTAATATGTAAGAGAGTAAGTTTTTCAAATTATACATCTGCCATTTTATATGAAAACCCTTTGATATTTGCATTTGTATAATTCATTAGGAAGTACGTAACTTCCCATGCATGTACACAGATTTATCTATTACCACAGTCAAATGAGAAGATTCTTTCTGACTATCTACAGTAGAGGGAGTTTGAATATCTGACCTTGTCATGAAAACTTTCCTAGAAGAGATGATGTTGTTTATGTCTTGTAGGAAAATTAGAAGTTAACTAGTCAAGAAATAAAGTGGTAAACTGTGAGGTCCCCTCTAGCACCAAGAACTGCAAATGCTGAAGCATGGAAATAAGGCAAGATTATACCTTATTTAGAAAATACAAACTGAGACAAAGTTTGAGGGAGCCTGTCTTGTGAAGAGCAGGGAGGAAGAGTGTTAAAGGTAAAAGGAACCACATATACAGAAGACTGTGAAGCAGGAGAAAGTTTGGTGTCCTCCAGAGGCTGAAAGCAGGCCAATGCGAACAGAGTGTTGTAACAGGAAGGAAAGGGGGTGAGGTCGGAGAATTAGGGGGCAGGCAGGTATTGTAGAGCTTCATAGGCCATGGTGTAGAGTTTTAATTTCATCCTAAAAGGAACGAGGAACAGTCGAAGGGTGCTTGTTAAAAAGAAGGGCGCTGTGGTCAACTTTGCATTTTAGGAATGTTGGCAATATTGTAGAGGGAAAACTAGAGAAAACAGACTGGAATCAAGGAGAGCTCTGCGAAGCTGTTGCAGGAGGAGAGCATGGTGCTAGACCACACTGTGAGATGAAAAAGGTATACTTGAAAGCGATGTGAGAGGCAACTGATTCCATGTTACCAGGTGAGAGAGGAGGGTTCTCAGACAACCACAAAGTTACTGGTTTGGGCACCCTATGAAATGGGTGACAAACAAAGTATAGGCTAGAGGTGGGGAGAAAGATAAAAATAAAGTTAGTTTTGTACATTTTGAGATTGACGTAACTTTCAGACATCTGTGTAACCAAAATATGGGTCTAGAAGGTAGGATCAAGGTATAGGATAGAATGTGAAAGTATAGATTTGCTCCTGATACCATGAGTAGAGATGAGATCATCTAAGGATAGTTTATGGTCTCTAGCATGTTTTGTGTACCAGAGCCTTTGAAATGACTAAAACTGTGGCTCCTTTCCCAAGAAATGACGGCACTCACGACCAAAATTGTATGAATTTGCAAGGGATTTTTTTTTAAAGATTTTCTTAAGCCCTAGCATGGAAGGCCTAGGTTAGTGGTTATCAAATTTTAGTGCTTAAGAATTACTGGCCAGGCATGGTGGCTCACATCTATAGACCCAACACTTTGGGAGGCTCAGGTGGGAAGATCACTCGAGGCCAGACTGGGCAACATAGCAAGGCCTCATCTCTACAATTAAAATAAAATAAAGAATTTGACATCCTGCTAAAAAACATTTACAGTTCCTATGCCTGGAGATTTTGGTTCATCAAGTCTGCAACAAGGACTGTGAAGATACATTTTTAACAGGGAACCATGTAATCAAGTCTGAGACCCAGACTTTGAGGACTGCTCTAGGGGTCTACAACCCTCAAGTTAAGCATTCCACCTCACTATGATTCACCAGATCAAAGAGTCACAAAAAAAAGATCATTCACTCGGGGTAGTTTCTTCCTCCTCCTTTTCCCTCCTGTCTCTTCTCTCCTTCCTCTGTTAGTGCTGGAAGTGATTTTGCAGTTGAAGACCCAGCAGTAAACAAAACAAGCCAGGATTTTAGCCTTTGGAGTGTTGGCTCTAAATGAGTGAGTGATAATTATCACAGACATAATTAAAATATGTGGTATATTGGATAGCGATAAATGTTTTGGACAATATGCCAAGGAAGGGGAATAGTGTCCTGGAGACGAGTGGGTGGTTCTGCCATTTTAGTAGGGTGATCAAGAAAAGCATCACTGAGCAAAGATCTGAAGGAGACGAAAGAGCAAGCCATGCAGATATCTAGAATACAAGTGTTTTGTGCTAGGGAGAACAACAGCTCCAAAGTTGCCTAGGGTTGCTGGGCTGGAGGTGTAGATTATATCAGGGAGGCAGAGATTGTACAGGGCCTTGACTGAGTCGGGGGGTTTCAGAAGACAAGTGATTGCTGAGACTTAGATTATAGAAAGAAATCTCAGCTTCTCCACTACACCTGTTCTACTTAAACTAATCCCTGGTTGAGGTCAGTATGCTGATCAATCGCCTCCAAAAGCCACATTTCCCACTGGAATAAGAATAGGAATATAGATACACACAGTATCCTGAGTGATGCAGGAGAAGTCTGTGCCTCATAGAGGAGCTGGGTGTGAATGGAGCAAACAACTTTTCCCGGGATAGGCATCCCGTGCTTCCATAGTTGGCTTAGAGCAGAACCAAGGGTCATTCTCACCTTGAGCAGATTCTTCAAGCCCTCACTAATTCAAAATGAAACAAAACAACAAACCCGGTCTAGAATGCAATAAGGGGAGTCATTGGATGCAATAGATCTCTGGAAGTGAAACTGGAAATTGAATGCCTGGCAAATACTCAGTTTCAGTTTCTACAGGATGGAGAAGATGCAAGTGCAGAGCGTGGTGATGATGATGATGATGATGAAAAGAACCTGATGAGAGAAAGAATTGCAAAAAAGTTAAAAAAGGACACAAGCACAAATGTTAGATCAGCCAGAGAGAGAGAAGTGGAGAAGAAATCAGTCAGCCGCAGGTGAGTCCATCATTGTGCTTCTCAGTATCACAGTTTTTGTCTTTTTATACATCAGACTGAGACCTCTGTTTAATTTTTACTTAAGTGTTTTCATAGTGTTTGATGAATAACCAGTTACACAAGTTGGCCCATTTGGGAACCTTAAAAAAATAGACCAAGCTTAAGGCAAATTCTACTTCATTTCTTTCTGATCCTTTTTTTGGAAAGGCTCTGTAGATTTTTATATAGAGAGTAAACAATATTAGCTAAATATGGGAGAATGTGTTTGTTTAATACTAATGAGAGCAGTAGAGTAATTGTATAGAAAGAAAAGAGACACTCAATTTAGGTGAGTAAAATTTATCAAAACTGATGAGAAAGACATGTAGGCCTGAAAACATTCTTAAATGTCTTTTCATGTCTGATTGACCAAATACCATATACCCTTTCTAATCCCTATCAGTCTATCATAAAAGATCATAAAAACTAAGCTTCAAATGATAAGATCAAGAATATCTCATAATTTAAACATCACACTCATGAAATATTCTTCAGAATTACCAATACCCTGATTCAGATCACCACCATCTCTGTGGATTCACTGAAGAAGTCTCCTAAGTTGTCTTGTCCAGTTATCTCCCTTATTATGGACTGAATATTTATTGTCCTCCAAAATCCATTAGGTTGATTCCCTAACCTAAAAGAAATTTCAGCACATGATGAAAAGTTCACTGTCCGGTGAACTTGGACATGTGACTCAACATTTAATTCTCAACATTGGAAAGTGACTCAACATTTATTTCTCTTGAAATTCAACTTAATGAAAAACTCTCTTCTTTCCTTTGTGATTCTATTACTACTTTAGAGTATACATTTTAAATAATATGGCTTTTAAAATGATAGTATTTTTTTCTTCTGTTTGGGAATAACATAGATGTAACGCCACGTAAATAACATTCTTTTTCTCTATCATGTTTCTCAACTCACAGAGAGAAACTTAAAAGTAAAAAGAATTTTCGTGCTGTCATTGCATAGCTGGCTCCTTCAAAATTTTCTTTGTGTAACCAGAAATAAAAAGGATTCTCAGAAATTTCCAATGAAAGTATAACTTTCTGCATTTAGAAATGGTACTTATAAGTTATCTTGTTTTTTTCTGACAACATTAATCTGACACTCAAATAATCACTGTTGAATAATTTAATATAATAGATTATATTATATATACTACATATAGTAGCCAAGGTTGGCTTAAGATTTTAGTGATTATATACATGCTCCTTCATTCATGGAGTTGAAGATCCTGTATTGCTCTGTACATTTTTTGTTAAATCATGAATATAATTATGGATACATATTTTTTCCTCTTACCAAGGCATGTGTTTTCTGATTTTTAAAAATAAGAAAATTTTTAAAGATTAGGTTTATAATGTAACAAAAAAATAGTTTTAATTCTTAATAGATGAACCAAATATTTATTTACATTATATTTATTTCTTAAGCCCTCAACTCTGTCTCATTAGTTTTAATACAATTTTAAATACTTATATACTGTATAATTAATAGAAATCATAATTTAGAAAAGCTAAAGTTTCTATAAGACCTAAGTAATGCTTATTTTTAATGTATCTTTAAAATTTTTCTTAAACGTTAAAGAGATTGCATTTCTCAAAAGTGTGTACATCCTTACAACAAAGAGTTATTCTTAAAAGATTCACTTGGCAGTGGTATGGGCCTGATGAGCAAACATGGCACTGATAGCCTAAAGATTTAAGAATATGATCTTTATCATGAAAATAGGGGGAGTCATTGAAAAGTTTTTACAGATAAAAGATACATTGAGATTTTATCTAGTGTGGTGAATAGACTGATAGAGGAATGTTTTGGGCTGCTTTTACAAAATACCATACACTGGAAGGCTTAAGCAATGGACATTTTATTTCTCACAATCCTGGAGGCTAGAGAGTCCAAGATCAAAGTGCTAGCCCATTTGGTTACTAGTAAGGGCCCTCTTCTTTGCTTACTGGAGCTGACGTCTTGCTGTGTTTTCATATGGCAGACAGAGAGCATACAAGCACGATCACTCTGGTCTCTCTCTATTCTGGTAAAGATACTAATTTCATGGTGCCCCCACCCTTATGACCTCATCTAAGCCAAGTGACCTCCTAAAAGCCCCATTTCCACTTACCATCACATGCAAGGTTAGGGAATCAACCTAATGGATTTTGGAGGACAATAAATATTCAGTCCATAATAAGGGAGATAACTGGACAAGACAACTTAGGAGACTTCTTCAGTGAATCCACAGAGATGGTGGTGATCTGAATCAGGGTATTGGTAATTCTGAAGAATATTTCATGAGTGTGATGTTTAAATTATGAGATATTCTTGATCTTATCATTTGAAGCTTAGTTTTTATAATTTCTTACATAGGGACATGTATCCACCCATGTTAGCAGTTTTCCCCTTTTTATAAATGGTTATAATTTGCAAAATTAAAGTCACATAACTGTAAACTTATATGAGCAGTTTGAATATTCATGGTAGAGGAAAAAACTATATTCAAGTGCATTGTAAGTCTACTAAGGAAAGTAAATTAAATAAGAAAAATAAGTCTCCAAATGTGGCTTAAAATATTTTAGGTCAACGTGAGTATTGTAGACATTAGAGAATTGGCAAACTGGGCTCGGTAGCTCAGCCTGCAATCCCAGTGCTTTGGGAGGCTGAGGTGAGTGGATTGACTGAGCCTGCGGGTTCAAGACCTGCCTGGGCAACTTGGCGAGACCTCATCTCTACAATAAATCAAAAATTAGCCGGGCATGGTAGCGTGCGCCTGTAGTTCCAGCTACTTGGAAGGCTGAGGTGGAAGGATTGCTGAAGGTCAGCAGGTCGAGGCTACAGTGGCTGGGAGCATGCCATTGCACTCCAGTCTGGGTGACAGAGTGAGACTCCAACTCAAAAAAAAAAAAAAAAAAAGAATTGGCAAAGTGTACCTTTATATATGGTGGAAAAGCAGACATTTATTTATAACTACTCTGCTTCCCCAAATTTTCAGTGTTCATTTACATTCTTTGCTTTCTTTCCTTCATGCTGTCTGTCTTACCTATAAAGAGAAACAAAAGAACAATAAAGGAGATCAAGATAGAAGAGAAAATATAGAATTTCAAAGGGAAAAACAGTTTTTCTCTCTAGTCTAGAAATTTCCATGATTATCTCATTAATCACATATTTTTTAGTTCATAAAATTTCCAAAATCATTAGTACTTTTGGTCAGTTATATCAGCTTCACTATAGTTTAAGTCTCTGGAGTATACATACAAAATATAGGAAACCTCTGAAAGTCTTGAAATTTATAATGCAGTTAAAAAGTACACTTATATTGAAAGAAAATTAACTGCTTAGTTTAAGATGAGTTATAATGGGTACAGTTGCCAGTCAGATAGGATGTCAGGGTGAAAGCATCATCTATTCAAAAATCAGTGTTCTTGATACACCCAAATAAACTTTTCATCTGGATGTGCTTGAAGTGCTTTGTTATCCTTTGGCCATTTTTAAGAAGTAGGATCAAGACAAGACTAGCTTACCAGCCCTTTAAGCTAGAAGCTATTCAAAGTATAATTTTACTAAAAATTTGTGGTATTATTTCTATTGGTAAGGACACATCTGGAATCTCTTAAAGCTGTTTATCACTTTGGATGTTAAACCTGCAAGCAAGTTTACTGAGTACATAATATTTAAGCTGGAGAATGGTATTTAACAATATACTTTTTAACACATTTACATACAGTAGAATATTCCCCTAATAATGTATTCTTAACAGTGTCTCCAGTGTCTCTAGTTGTCTCTAGTTGCACTTCCTATCTTTTCCCCTCACAGAATACCCTTATACTTGTTCTGACTTCTCCAGGATTTCTTGTTCTTTGCTCCCTCCCTTTTAAAAATATATCAGTCCCATTTTCTTTCTTATTCAGCCCTCATTCTCTATGCCTGTGTCTTGACTACTGGATGCTTCTCAGCCAAGCTCAGCAATGAACAAGTTGATGTCATTATAGATGTCTAATTTCCACCTTCCACTGTGTCTCCAGTGCTTTTGTACTCCTCACTCTCCACAATGTCTACTTCAGACTTCAAATTGACCTACTCAGCAGATCACCTGGCTTCCTGTTTTATCAAATGACAGTAAACTTTTGCAACCTTATTCCTTTCTCTTCCCTCTTTCCAGACAAATTCTTACCCCCTTCTCCTCAGTTTTAAAGAGAGAGAAGTCCCTCTACCCGTTCAAAATGATTCTTTCCTCTCTTTCCTTTGTCTTCAGTTTTTTCTCTTCAGGCTGGATCTTTCCCTTGGCTTGTGAGTAGGCTTGGGCCTCTCCCAGCATTCAAGAGTAAAAACAAACAAAACCACTCCATTTTATTTTCTGTCTCCACCATCTTACTTCCCGTTTATTTCCAAATACAGATCATCTGGCTCTTCTACCACTCCACTAAAACTATTCTCACTAAGGACACCTAAGTGACAAATGTAATGGCGACTTTGCAATTTTTGTTTGTCTTTCTCCTGTGGAAATTTTATCTCTTTTCTCTTGAAACTTACCTCCCTTGAGAATGTGGCTGCTTAAATTGTGATCTGTTGAGGAGTAGCATGAGTATCGTTAGTGATGCTACGTCTCGTCTCAGGCCCTACCCCACACCTTTTGAATCAAAATCAGTATTTTAACAAATCAGGTTATTTGCATGTGCATTAAACTTTGAGAAGCAGTCCTTTAGAATACTAATTTTTATCCCGACTGCTCCTTGGACTAGTTCACTTTTGTATCAGCTTAACTCCAAGGCCAGCAACTTGGTAGTATGTTTTCTAACACCCCAGTGCATACCTAGTGTACCTTTCTCAAACTTCTGTGATGGATAATATTAGGTTATACATATTTTCTTGTGTACCCTTGTACTGTAACTTTCTTGAGGGTAGTGATTTTGTTCACTCATGTTTGTATCTCCATGTTTAAGCATCATAGGTGCCCAAATATT